GTCTAGTTTAAAACATAGGTAATCAAAGATGATGAAGCTCACCTCAACGAATGTTATCTACAAGTAAGAAATTTCACATACTTTTATTTTCTAGTTAGTGTACATGCCAAGATAAATCTCCATGCAAGTTTGGTTTAAGTAGGACTTATAGTTACTTGGAAATAGACCTTTTCAAAAAAACTTTTTACCTGTTTACTATTCAAGAAAATTTTGGTCAGTTCCAACATCCAAAGCAAGTTTGGAAGTTTTCATCCTTAGATGCACCATCTACGCAAGTTTAATCATAATAGGCCATAATATTGTATAGCAACTCCAAAAAAATACCCTGGTCACTCATCTGGAAAATGTACATTAGATTCAGAATCCAAAGTATGTCTGAAAGTGTCCATCCCTAGATACATCATCCATGTTAATTTTGTGAAAATATGGCTAAAATTCAGTCATGTGAAAAATATAGGTCAAATCCAGCATCCGAAGCAGGTTGGTAAGTGTACATCCCTAGATGAATCATCCATGTTAGGTCCAGGTACATGTAGGTTTTATAGTTACTTGGAAATGGACCTGCTCCAAAGTCTTAACCTGGAAACTCTTGTGGAAAATCTAGCTCACATCCAGCATCCAAAGCAAGTATGGTATGTCCATCCCTAGATGCATCATCCATGCAAGTTTGGTCCAGGTAGGGCTTATAGTGACTTGGGAATGGACCTGCTTCAAAAAGTTTAACCTGCTCACTCATCTGAAAAATTTGGTCAGATCTAGCATCCAAAGCAAGTATGGTAGTGTCCATCCCTAGCTGCATCATCCATGCAAGTTTGGTCCAGGTAGGGCTTATAGTGACTTGGGAATGGATCTGCTTCAAAAACTTTAACCAGGTCACTCATACGGAAAATCTATCTCACATCCAGCATCCAAAGCCAGTGTGGAAGTGTCCATCTCTAGATGCATCATCCACGTAAGTTTGGTCCAAGTGGGATTATAGTTACTTGGGAATGGACTTGCTCCTAACATTTAATTGGACACCGACGCTAACGCTGACACCGATGCCAGGGGTTTAGTATAAGCTCATCTCAACTTTGTCGAGGTGAGCTAAAAATCAAGGATATTAATAATAAAAAAAACTGTAGTTATCCGACACCATATTTTAGTTCTACAGGGAATCAACCAGGAGTTTTATGTGGAAAGTAATAATGTTAAAACAAGAAGTCTGTGAGCCAATGCTCACTAGTAATACCCCCGCTTTGATGTGAATATACACTCTGATGTGAATGTACATAAGTTCAGTTATGGACAGACAAAGGGATGAACAAGAAGTTGACATCAGATTCTTACAAAAGTGAATTCCACCATATTGCAGGCCTATACAGAGAGTGTTCTATAATTTCAAGCATCTGCAATCAGTAGTTGCTGAGAAAACTGTGACCAAAAATTGTATGGTATGGACAAATGCATTGAAAAACTGGAAGTTGACATCTGATTTGTACAACAAGAAGCCCAGGGGCCACATCGCTCACCTCAGCACTGTGGCTACGAAAAAAGGAAAAATCAGTTTAGTATTGAAAAGCTTAAATGCATAAGTGGTCCCAACCTACCCCTAAAAGGGAGTGGGGGGTATGATTTGAAAAAAAATTAAATCTACTCAAAGGATGCTTACATAATTTTTTGACTGTGACTTTTTTCTCTACAAGTTTGAACTTTCATTGTGGCCCCACCCTACCACTGGAGGTCATGATTTGAACAAACTTGAATCTACACTGTCTGAGGATGCTTCTGCATAAATATGACCAATCATGACTTTACTGTTCTTGAGAAGAAGATTTTGAAGACTTTTCCTTTATATTCCTATGTAAAACTTTGAACATCCATTGTGGCCCCACCCTACCCCTGGGGGTCATGATTTGAACAACTTCAATCTACACCACCTGAGGATGCTTCCAAATAAATATGACCAATCATAGCTTTGCTGTTCTTGAGAAGAAGATTTTTCCTATATATTCCTATGTAAAACTTTGATCATCCATTGTGGCCCCACCCTATCCCAGGGGGTCATGATTTGAACAAACTTGAATCTACACCACCTGAGGATGCTTCCATATAAATTTAACCAATTATGGCTTTGCTGTTTTTGAGAAGAAGATTTTTGAAGATTTTTCCTATGTACACCTAATTTGTTAACTTTGATCGTCCATTTTGGCCCCACCCTACCCCTGGGGGTCATGATTTGAACAATTTGAATCTATACCACCTGAGGATGCTTCCATATAAATATGACCAATCATAGCCTTGCTGTTCTTGAGAAGAAGATTTTTCCTATATATTCCTATGTAAAACTTTGATCATCCATTGTGGCCCCACCCTATCCCAGGGGGTCATGATTTGAACAAACTTGAATCTACACCACCTGAGGATGCTTCCATATAAATATGACCAATCATAGCTTTGCTGTTCTTGAGAAGAAGATTTTTTAAGATTTTTCCTATATATTCCTATGTAAAACTTTGATCGTCCATTGTGGACCCACCCTATCCCTGGGGGTCATGATTTGTACAAACTTGAATCTACACTACCTGACAATAATTCCACATGAATTTCATCTTTCCTGGCCCATTGCTTCTTGAGAAGATTTTTCAATAATGCCATTAATTTTTTGCTATTTCATAATTATCTCTTGAATAACTTGAATCCCCTTCACCCAAGGAAATTGGCCCAGTAGTTCTGGAGAAGAAGATGAAAATGTAAAAAGTTTACGACAACAACGACAACGACGCCGACAGACAACGGACAAATTTCGATCAGAAAAGCTACTCGAGCCTTCGGCTCAGGTGAGCTAAGAAATAAATCCCACCATAAGGCATGCCTAAACAAAGAGTGTGCTAAAATTTCAAGCATCTGCAATGAGAAGATGCTGAGAAAACTGTGACAAAAATTTGTTACGTATGGTATGGACAGATGCACGGATAAACAGGAAGTTGATATTGGATTGGTACAAAAATAAATCAAACTATATGGCATGCCTAAACAAAAAGTGTGCTAAAATTTCAAGCATCTGCAATCAGTAGTTGCTGAGAAAACTGCAACAAAAATTTGTTATGTATGGTACGGACAGACATACAGATAAACAGGAAGATGACATCGGATTCATACAAAAATTGATCCCACCATATGGCATGCCTCAACAAAGTATGTGCTAATATTTCAAGCATCTGCAATCAGTAGTTGCTGAGAAAACTGTGATGAAAAAGGATGACTGCACTTAACGCCTGTTTTGGGGTCTTTTTCAATTGCTTCTGTTGCTTTTATATCTAAACCTTATTTCACTTTTGTTTGTTTATGAAAGAATCCTGACAATTTGGAACCAAATTTCAATCTTAAAATGATTTTAGACTGTGATACAATAAAATGATTAAATGTTTTTTTGTCCTTACTGCTTTCCAAATATAGTGAATTTACACTTGCCTGCCCTTGATTGAACATTAGATATGCATGAGAGGTGGAGCTATGAGCTATGAGAATGGGTCTAAAATAAGACTTGATAAATAACAATGACATGTTTGAAAAAAAAAGAATGTGATCACTCTTTCCAATCTCCCTCTCCATTCTGTATACACTTCTGACAAAGGTTTCAAAACGAAATTAACAATATGAGCACGTCAATATAATTAAAGCAGACTTTATATCAATGCCAGATAACTTAACGTGTTCGAACACAATGTCCTAGTTAGCACAAAACATGCTACCTTTCAAGTCACGTGATGGAATTTAGTATTCACAAAGTTACCTGAGGTACAAAATCACGTGGTGAATTATAATATTCAACATGTCACAATCCTTGGTTACAACACAGAGAGTGAATGTAAGAAGAAGCAGTTTTTTCTCTTTTTAACCATGAGCGCATGTTTGTCTATTAATCTCCTTTTGACACATTATTATATATGCAAATATACAACTACTGTTAAACGTAGAACAACAGACAAACATGCGCTGACTATGTATAAAGTCAGTAAAAAAAGTGGGCGTCCTCATTATTGAACGGAGATTCAAGAAACTGTATGACCCCTGCCTTTGAAAACAGATTCGAACTTCGCAAATAAACACTTTTATTAAACGTAATTACATAAAGTTGTAGATTAGATGTTGACCATTCATGCAATGAAAAGAAAAATGCTTGTTTTGAAAGTTTATTTTGTCGCAAATTTCGCATGTCCTTAAATGCAGTCATCCTTTGTTACAGACAGACCGACAGACAGACACACAAGGGTAAAACAGTATACCCCCTTCTCCTTCGGACAGGGGTATAAAAAAGCCAGATAAAAGGGAATTACAGAAGAAAGATGTTAAAAAAAAACCGCAACATTAAATTTGGCTTAAATATGAATGTCTTTTGTTGTGATTGCCAAAAGAGCAATTAAGATCAGGAAATTTGAGGTGAAGGATATCCAGATATGTACCTTCAAAATGTGGATCATTCAACAGATGAAAAGAAAATAAGCCTTTGAAGAAAATTATGTCAAATACATCAATTAAATATTTCAATTGCACATCATTTTTGTTTCACCTATCTTTACAATATGTGAAAAAATTTTTCAAAACATATGTTTAACCATGGTTTGGCACATGTATGGTATCATATGAGCAGTGCATTTAACAAACATGTTAAATGCATGTTTCTCAAAATGTGCGTTACAAATATGTTGCAACGTACGTTATTCATACGTGATCTGTATGAATAATGTATGTGTGCAACATATGGTAGTCAATATGTATGTTTAACATATGTGTCACGCATGACATTCATACCTGTGATTAAGAAGGATTAAAGTACATGGTGTTTTTTTCATGTGATACGTACTTGAAGTCACATACGAATTACATACGTTTAACGTACGTGGCACATTCTGCTGTGATATATTGCTTTAGTTTTGTATCATTTTCATATTACATTACATTATAATGTTTATAATATGATTAGTTGTGTAAAGAAATCAATTCATTGTAATTCACAGCTAATATAAATTAAGCATTCTAAGGAATCTACCTCCAAGCATTTGCAGTGTTGTCTTAACAGCAAGCCAGGCATCTTCTGTAAAGAATTGTTTGGCACAATCTTGCAATTTCTTATTCAAAAGTAGACTTTTGCTTTGCATCAAAGTTTCTGGCCTTACAGCTACATCCTCCTCCTGTATCTGCTTTGAAAAATCCAGCAACTGACAAAATGGAATGTCCTCTGCTACTAGGCCTATAAATTCTGTAATATTAGATATGTATATACCAAAAGCTAATTTACATACCAGTTACATACCATTTGTTCATAAAAATGTGACTGATATAAAATGGTTTTTTTTTTCAAGTTTAAAAGTTTATTTCTGAAGATTTCTGTACACTCATATACAGTTCATTATTTTCACACATTTATAATTTATCTCTTATATGAACATGATGAATTACAATAAGTAGTATTAAGAAGAAAAATTAATACCATCACTCCTTAAAAAATCACTTGTCAATTACTTTTTTTTTTTACTCAATCATTTAAAATAACTTTTTTATCCTGTGCATACCTTCTAGAGCATCAAGATCAACATCAGTGATATTTTGATCCTGCAAATTTAAGGTACCTGAAAGATTAAAAAAAAATTATTACATGTATATGAGAACAACATATCAATACAATTTACTTTAAATTAAATCTTGTTCATTTTTAAATTGGATTTCTTTTTCTACATCAATAAAAGTGCATAATTGCATACTGTGGAATTGTGGAATCATCACTGTTTGTGGTAGACTAATGTTTGTGAATTTACATTCACATGAACATTTATTTTACAAACATATTGACTCATTGTAGCAACCATATAAACCAGTAACCCTTGAAATTACATTCGTACGAACAAGTAAAATTTTGCTTGCCCATGAACATTGCCCCCCCCCCCCCCCCCAGATTAAAATGTTCCATAGTATTTTAAATCCTGATTTCTTTGATTGCTTTTGATAACCACCATTTGCCAATTCTTTTAACTTCATTGCAACTAAAATGCTCATCTGTAGATGTTAAGTATACTGTTTCATTTTTATTTGTCAATTTTAAGCACAGAGATAATATCATATGATAATACAGTAAAACTTGTCTAATCCAGACACCACTGGTTCCATAGAAATTGGCCGGATTAGACAATGTCCCAGATTAAACAACATTTTTTTTTAACAATTGAATTTATTCAAAGGAACTTGAAATTGACAAAATATTAGGCTAGATTTCAGAATACACAACATTAGGATTAGATAAGTTTCACTGATTTAGTAAATAATGAAATACCTTCACAATCCTCCATCATATCCACTTGTTGAAGAACCCGTCCAACATGTGTAATTTCCCTCAGTGCTGGGGGGCATTGATAAATATTTTCATTAATTTTTTCGGAGTGTCCCATATGTTTGTAGAATATCTCTCGATCTCTTGGGGCAACATCCAATGCAGCATACTCTGTTGCAATAAAGTGACGCATCCCAGTGGCATTAAGGCTGCGTTGAAGTCCTGCCTCTTGACACATTCTGTGCACGCAATCCCATCCTATCACATGACTCATAGAGGTTTTTGTATTTGGAAAAACAAACTCATTCCTTTGATTGACTCCTGCTGTTTTTCTAACTTCATCATCTGTTATGATATTTAAAGCCTTCCAGCAATCTTTAGGGATTATAACAGGTACAAGTCTTGCAACTTTTGAGGCATGAATGTATGCAATTTTTGTTTCACCAAAAAGCTGTCTTTCAGTTTCAAACTGCAAATTTTCTTTCTTGTACTGGTCAATCCATTTGTCATTCATGGCATCAGATAACTCTGATAACAGCATCCTGCTTGGTTCTCCTCCTCTCCGTGCATTAAATATAGTAAGTCTGCAAACAAGTGCATCCCTCAGTTTGCAAAACTCCGCATTCTCATACAAAGAATATCCATCACCAGTCAATTTTTTAATTAACTGCTTTGTGTAATCCCTGAGCTTAAAAAGATCATGTCTAACAGGAAGGTTAATAGGTGCTCTTAATTCAGCCTGACGTTGTGTTGCAACTGATTCCTCTGCATTTTTGAAAAATGAAGGCCAAAGTTGACGAGAAATCACAACAAATTTTCCCAATTCTGCTGCCAAATCATCTTCCCCTTCAATTAGATAACTTGCCTGCATCACCTCACAGACATCATTTAAAAGATATTTAAGATTCACTTTCAATGAATTTTTTACTTTTTTTGCATTTTCATCCACAGTCATCTTCAGTATTGCTTCTTGTAGCTCAACAATATGGTTTCTACTGAACATCTCACTGCAGCTTTTAACTTGTCTCTTTCTTTTCTCTTCAAAAATCTTTTTAAATGCCAAGAAAAGATGAGCCAGCCTTCTCAACTTTGAATTCAAAGATAATCTTTTCTCCACTTTCTTAATGCTCCCTTTAATATTTTGATACAAATGGAAACCATATCTTTTTATCCAATCATCCTTTCGTATTAATGCCCCATAGTCAGTATCTCTAAAGCTCTCCAAAATCTCTTGTGTATATTCTTTAGGATATTTATCATCTTCAGTCAAGCATCTCATAGAGAGTGATAATGGTGAAACTGCTGAACCTTCAGCTGCCACACAAGTTCTTTTGTGCTTATATATGACTTTAGCGTTGAAAAATCCTTTACACACTGAGCACATTTTCAATGAGGATGGATTACCTTGATTTCTTTCTCTAATAAGTTTTGATACCTCAAGATCCCCACTTTTTATCATTTCACTGTTAGCCTTGAAAATACCCTCTTTTTTCATTTCATCAAATGCTTTATTCCTCAAGTGTTTAGGTAATTGTAATGCATTTTTAACTTGTTCTTCATTTTTATGCTTAGCTTTCAGATGATCAGTTAATCGGCCTTTCATCTCACCACAGAAAGGACAAGGTCTTCTGGGTTTGGCACTTTTAGCAGAATTGTTTTTAGCTGGTTCTAAATATGTTCAAAAGAAATTGCATCTTTTAATTTATTTACGTTTTTTTTACTTTCATTTGATTTTGATTAAATATACAAGCAAAGTCAGAGAATTGTGTTAGGGTCTTTTGAAAAGTTGGTCAAAAGTAGCTTAGGTGAGTTAAATAGTTCTTGAGAATTCGGTACATGTATATAAAATAGAAGCTTGCATTATAATTATTTCAAATCAAGGTTCAACATATTTTATAAAAAAAACAGAAGACTTTTGAAATTCTAACCTTTCTGCAAAGGTGTCACTGGAGCAGGAATTTCAGAATCATGGTCACTTTCACCTGGTGAGTAATCTTTGGCAGGTGGAATGTTCACTATTTATTAAACAAAAAAAGCCATTGAAAATATTGAAAATATATATACATGTAAAACAAATATTTAGCAAAGCATTTATCACTGAACAGGTTTGTGGATGAAATATATCTTTGTAAAATCTTGTCCCTGTAACAAGAGACTCTTAATAACCTGAAGTCCATGGGACCTTTGTAAAACAGTACAACAAATTTTGGTTGCTTGACTGACTGAAAAATTCATTTATTCTTAATTATACACATGATTTTTGACAATGACACTCCTTTGAATTATTTGAGTAAAACAGGGTTCTTTTTAGGAATATGTATAATCCCTATTCTGCCTATTGTGGTCACACCCTAACCCCCAGGGACCATAGTCTGATCAATTTAGAATATACACTACTTCATTTAACTGTCACATAGGTTTCAGCTTTTCTTGACCAATGGTTCTCCATGGCCTTAGGGGCATGCCCTCCCCCCCCCCCCCCCATCATTTTGCCGATAAATAGAATACTATAGAAAACACTCTACTATATGCTTGTGCCCACTCAATAATAATGTCTGAAGACCTTTTTTTCTCCTTGTCAAGGATATTTTGGTAGTTGATAGTGGCCCCAACTGAAAATATATGGCTGTGCCCCCCAAACTGAAATTGCTTCCTACAGGCCTGTTCTCAACATGCTCAAGATGAAGATTCTTAAGGATTTTTCCCTTACATTTCAATGTAAAATTTTGGATCCCTATTGTGGCCTCACTCTAACCCTTGGGGTCATGATTTGAACAATTTAGAATCTACACTACCTCAGGAAGCTTCAATTAAGTTTTTAGCTTTTCTGGCCAAATTAATCTTGAGAAGATTTTTTCATGGCCCAACACTTTTTTTTTTATTATCTCCCCTTTAGAAAAGACTTGGCACTATTATTTATAAATTCAGAATCCCATTTACACAAGGATGCTAGGTATCAAATTTGATTAAAATTGGCCCTGTAGTTCTTGAAAAGAAGTTACAGATGGATGGATGAATAGACAGACAGACAAACAATGGGTAATCAGAAAAGCTCACTTGAACTTTCAGCTCAAAAGAGCTAAAAATATATTGCTCTCCTAAAGCGATGCAGCCATTCAATAATACAGGGTGTTTCAAAATGTCTATCCCCATTACAAACTGGAATAGAATTCAGCATATTATTTTATTTACTTAGGTTTCAATATTCATCAATTATTTTCTTTTTCTTAGATTTTTTCATTATATATTATTTTTAAGTTTTATTTTAGAGGAACTGAGATTCAATTCTACAAGTGATAATCCAACTTTGTCCATAACTCCCTTTCTAAAGAGGAAATTCTTCAAAATCAAATGTCAGTTTTGAATATTTTCAATATTCCCAACAACCAAAAAGAATTTGAATTACCATATCTATATTGGATTCCAAAACTTCATAAAAATCCTTACAAAAAAAAATACATAGCAGGTTCCAGTAAATTTTCCAACAAGCCTCTTTCTTTACTCTTTACTAAAATATTAACAGTAGTGATGGAGAAACTTCAGGAGTACTGTGCAACAATATATTCAAGAAGTGGTGTAAATCAGATGTGGATACTTAAAAATTCTAAGGAAGTTGTAAATTTGTTGAAGTTTTGCTTCATTTAAACTTGGGTTGAAATATTTTTACCCGACCAGTCGGGCTACCAAGAAGCAAATTAAACTAGACCGGACCTAATGTTTACTATTCTGAGTCGTTCGGACATGCCTAAATGTTGAGCCCTGAATGGCCGACAACTTTTGACAAAGGTATTTCTTACGATGTGACTACACAAACATTGAAAAGTTGTACCAAAACTATGTCCCTGTATTAAAAATCATCTGTCTTACCATCAGTAAGCATCTTAGTGAATAAATATGAATAAAAGTTAAGTCCCATGAAGAAAAAGTTGTGTTTTTACAATATATTCGTTTTACCTGTAAATTACCTATTTGTTTACACATAAAATGAAAACTGGCCATCAAAGTATTGAAGTCCTATCTCTGCAGAACATTTTGATGCATGATATGTCTATGTTTTTTTCAATAAATCTGAATTAAATTGATTAAACAAATGCACCCCAACTCAGGCAAAAATATTCAGCTCAGAGCACTAACACTGTGTATTTTATATAGCACTACTAGGGTTAACAATGGTTATTACCATTATCATGCCAATACGATATTTCCTGGTGAGCTTGAAATAAAAGATACCACAGAGTCTGACACATCCCATATCTGTTTCATATTTGGATATTTACTACAAAAAGACATTAATGATAATCTAAAAACCAAGCTTTAAGATAAACGTGATGACTTCGATCATAAACTTCCCTTACTTATGCAGCAATATACCTTCATCACCTGCATACAGGGTTTATATCTCTCAGTTGATTCGATACTCTAGAGCATGCTCTACATATGTACAAAATGAGGTAAATTATTAAATTGACAAACAAGTTGATGAAACAAGAAAATCAGCAGTCTATTTAAAGTTATAATTTCGTAAGTTCTATGGTCGATACAATGACCTTGTCAACAAATATCTATCTTTAAGTCAAATGCTGACTGATGTTTTTCATACTAATTGTTAGGCCATTATTTACCACTGAATTGTCAACAAATTTTTCCATTATTTCCCGATCATGACAAGGAACACACGGCGGGTGTGACCAGTTGGCTGGGGAAGCTCACTCCCCCATGACACCTGATCCCACCTCTGATGTTTTAGAGGTCCATGTTTGCTCTGCTCCAAAATTTGTATTGTTTAATGGACTTTTGAACTTGAATACTGTTTGTTATCTTCATATATTTCATTTCACAATGCATTAATTATAGTAACCATATTAAACTATAAGCATATGGGCCACAATGCTTGCTTGAATCACTTTAACCCTGCTGTTCTTTATCAGATTTGTTTCTCCATATATACATGTATCATCATGAAAAAAAAATGCCTTTGGTAGTCCCACCCTCTAAACAAAGGCCATAATTTTTAACAAAATTGAATCTACACTGCCAGACGATACTATTATATAAATATGACTAACCATCCCTCTGCTGTTCTTGATTGATTGCATGTAGTTTTACGTCCCATTCGAGAATTTTCACTCATATAGAGACGTCACCATATACCGGTGAAGGGCTTCAAATTTAGACCTTTACTCGGCACTCAGGGCCATTGAGCAGTGAGGGATCTTTATTGTGTCAACATCTGCCATGACACTGGGCCTTGGTTTTTATGGTCTCATCCAAAGGACCTGCAACTTTCACTTCAAAGTGCCAAGCGCATGGTGAAGGAACAGTTGCTACCCATTTTTTATCGACTAAGGTCAGTCGCGGCTGAGATTGGAAATCACGACCTCCCAATCAAGGAGCGATTGCTCTACCGACAGAGCTACCATGAACGGTCTGCTGTTCTTGAAAAGAAGGTTGTTATAATATATTCCTATGTAAAACCATGATAAACTAAAATGGCCCAACCCTGATCCTGGCAACCATGATTTGAACAAACTTGAATCTACACTACCTAAGGATATATATAAATGTTTTGCTGTTTTTGTGGAGATTTGAAAAGTTTTCCCCTACATATTTCTTTGACAATTTTAAAATTGCCAAATGAACCCCATCCTATCCAAGGGAAATGAGTGGGTGGGGTCATGTTTAAGTTTTAAATGGCAATAGTAATAGGGACAAATAATATGAAACATCCTGTACACAGATTAGAAAGGATGAAAGAAAGACTTACATAAATCTTCTGAGGTTTCCTGTCTCTCATCATGCATATCTGTTGGTGTAGAACATGTGACCTCAGGAACAGTGGAGTCTTCAGCATAATTCATCAAACTTTTCCATAATATATTTACTAATATTGGGTAAATATCAATTTGTTCATTCCTGCCTGCAGAGATATGCTTAAGATAAGCTACCATCTCTGAGGAATCTCTAAAATGAAAAAGACCTGCAAGTCCGTTTGCATCAATGAAGCCATTTTGGTTTCGTGCATGTGGGTCGAAAATAGAATACTTTTGATGCCCAGTGCATAAGATTGCTATGCTTGAGCCAAACATTCTGAGAATAAAACTTTGGTTTGGTTTGTTAACCAAAGCAGATGTTACCAAAGTGTCAATATATGAAGAATATCCAAATGAACCTTCTTCAAGAACTCCAACACTTGCTTTTATACCAGTCATGCCAATTCGACATTGAATTGTATCCGGTATCTCATCAATATCAAGCCTTGATTCATATCTGTTGAATGGCCAGCCTTTCTTCTGAAGAATATCTAAATGAAGTTGATCACCTCCAACAAGAACTTCGTCTATGAAATCAGAGTTCCAGTCATTTACAGCTCTCAGGGCTGCTGCTACAATAGCTGTAACGCAGATGCTAGTGCACTGACTGCCAGCAGCTGCATGTTTAAACTGTTGTGGTGTACATTGGTGAAAATGTCCCATCACAGCCACCATATTTCTAGTTTCATCTTCCTGTCTACTCTGTTGAAATGTTATAAAATACTATTATATTATTATTGATACTATTTTGAATTGTTTTTTATTACTTTAAATTCAATTGATCATACCTTCAAAATTATAAATTATAAACTAGAAGTGTCAGGTTGTCAACATAAATGCTCCTACTTACATGTACATTTTATTTATGTACAAGGGAGTTCAACATTACTGCTTTATTGCAAAAAATTCTTACTCATTACCAATACTTTTCTTCTAAATTATGGGAGCTCATTACCACTACATCTTATCAAAAACACAACTCATTACCTCTACATACTGGAATCTGCCAGCGATGGCACACTTATACGAGTTCTATTCAATGTATTAAGTCATTTAGCTTGTAGTCGAATTACTAAGACTTCTAAATATTCTAAAGTGTTGACATGTGTAGAAAAAAACACAATTTTTTTTTACAAAATGGCTAGGGATTTGAAATAGTGAAAAAATTCCTGCTCAAGGTCCTACTTTCACCCCCCTGCTGTGATCTGGGGAAATAAATCACATGCATAAACATGTTGTACTTTATATCTTTACCAAGAATGTGAAAATAACAATGGATGAAAATGACAGAAAAATAAAACATCATACTGTTCCTTTTTTTTGATTTCTGGAATAAGATGTCTACATCACAACATACTTAAGCTACATAAATTTGTGACCCCTTACAAGTAAAATAATACTTAAGTCCAAAAACAATGCAAAATAAAAAAAATTAAGGGTCATAACTTCTGTAAGAATTGGACAATTAACATGAAAATCATAGTTGTTATGCAAGTCTTCAATACAGAGAGATTGATTGATTGTTTGCCTCTTGAGAATTTTTCACTCATACAGAGACGACACCACTTGCAGGTGGGGGGCTACAAATTTTTGACCTATACTTGGCACTCTGGGCCATTGAGCATTGAGGGATCTTTTTCGTGCCAGCACCTACTGCAAGACGGGACCTCAGTTTACATAGTCTCATCCGAAGGACTGGTCTCCACGTCCTGCAGTGGGATTCCAACCCGGATGTAAGGATCAACTCCTTACTCCGTGACTCTAGAGCAGACGCTCTAACCACTGTGCCAAGTGGGCTACCAAAGAGACAAATCAAGGATTATTACCTACAAGCATGACCAAGAAAGATCTACAAAATTAGGTATTTAAAAGGTCCCAGGGCATTATAACCCCCAAAATAGGTCAATCATGACAAAACTCTAACTTGATGGGTAGGTTGTCATAATCAAGAGACTTAAGATCAGAAGTCTCTGATGAGACTGTAGCTCTACTGGTCTGTACATATAACAAAGAAGAACTTGGATTTGGGACTTTGCTACATGCAACAATAAATAGAATTGTGTATTTTAATGTAGTCTTCTTCTGTGCCAAGTTATACTGAAATCAAACGAAAACTGTAGGAGGAGTAGCTTTTGAAAGTATTTCACAGAAATTTCTATTTTAAGTAACCATGGCAACACCATTTACTGACATCAAAACCGAAATACATATTATGTATCGTAGTGTATTCTAATTGAGTGTCAAATTAGACTAAACTCAGACCAAAACTGTAGGAGGAGTAACGTTTTAAAGGAATTTCACAGACATTAAAATATTTAGTAACCATGGCAACAGCGTTCATCAAAATCAAAAATCGATATAACAAATAATGTATCTTAGTATAGTCTTTTTGTATGCCAAGTTATATTAAAATCAGAACAAAACTGAAGGAGGAGAAGTATTTTTATTGAATTTCACAGAAATTTCTATTTTTAGTAACCATGGCAACACCGTTCATTAAAATACAAAGATCGATGCATTTAATTATGTTTCTTAGTGTAGTCTACTTGTGTGACAAGTTATATTGAAATCAGACCAAAACTGTAGGAGGAGTATTGTTTAAAAGGAATTTCACAGAAATTTCTATTTTTAGTAACCATGGCAACACCACTCACCCAAATCAAGAACCGATGCACTAGATTATGTAACTTAGTGTAGTCTACTTTTGTGCCAAATCATATTGAAATCAGACCAAAACTGTGGGAGCAGTAGCGTTTTAAAGGAATTTCACAGAAATTTCTATTTTTAGTAACCATGGTAACATCGTTCATTGAAATCAAAAACCGATGCACTAAATTATGTATCTTAGTGTAGTCTACTTGTGTGCCAAGTTAGATTGAAATCAGACCAAAACTGTAGGAGGAGTAGCATTTTGAAAAATTGTTTACAGACAGATGGACAAACTGACAGCTAGACAGACAGACGGACAGACACCGGACACCTTACCATCACATAAGGCTTTCTGGTCTCTGACCAGTAGAGCTAAAAACCAGAGCCCCACCCAAGCACCAGAATCCCTGACCCTGGGGCCATGAATTTCACAATTTAGGCAAAGGGCTCAATGCTTTTTACAATCATGCCAACAGTTTGTTTGATGTCCAGGAGTAGAGAAGATTTTTAAAGATTGCATTAATTTTATTAGTTTTGGCCCCAACCCTCAGGTCCAAGGGGGCAGGAGCCACGAGTTTCATAATTTTGTTCCCCTTCACACATAGGTGCTATATGCCAAATTTGGTTGAAATTGGTTCACTGATTCCAGACGAAAAGTTGAAAATGTTCAAAAGTTTACGACCGACGAATGAGAACTGACGAAAAGAGATAGCAATAAGTCACCTGAATGACATAGGTGACCTAAAAAGATTTAAATTATTGAATTAATAAAAGTCATGGTTTTGCTAAAAGTTTCGGAAAACTGCATCAAACTTCAAGGTCAAAGTGACGAGGTCTAATATGAAAAAAATATTGAATTTCAGAAACCTCTTGCAAAAAATTAATGCTCTTAAAACCAGAAGTCTCTGATGAGACTGTAGCTCTACTGGTTTGTACTTATAACAAAGGAAAAGAAAAGTAGCACTTGGATTTGAAACTCTGCAAAAACAATAAATGGAATTATGTATCTTAGCATAGTCTACTTGTGTACCAAGTTATTGAAATCAGACCAAAACTGTAGGAGGAGTAGCATTTTGAAAGTATTTCACAGAAAGAGCTAAAGCCACGAACCATCATATTTGGCCCTGTGTTTTTCACGAAAATAAAGTTTCGGTTCAAGAAGAGTACTATACGTTAAATATTAGAGGACAACATTCTTCTTTTCCATACATAACTTATATCATTATATAATGCGCCATTAAACACGTGCGACGGTTGGAAAATGCGACGGTTTCATAAAAACGTTAAAAAATGATGTTTTTTCGACAGATTTTCCCAAAGTTAGATGTGGCCACAGTCAAGAGCAACTTTTATACTTCCCATAGATATAGATATTACCGATACAAATCTTTATGTTTAATATTGTTATTGTTCGTGGCTGTGGCCAATATAAAATTTGATTTTATATTTAAATTTTGATGGATCAAATAATCATTAATTTGTAGATCAATCGTTTACATTCAATTCATGTAATAATAAAAAAATATAAATTTCACAAAATATGCTAGAAAATCAGTAAATTGTTCATTTAAAACGCTAAATGTGAAAAATAGTCAACTACATACATTTTCTGAAATAAATGTCTGGAAAAACTTTGTGGTTTTTACTATGACTAGGTCATTATGTATGACGTTACTAGTAATACGTCAGTTGTGATGTCATAAAGGCTGTAAATTATTTGGGATGTTGCTGAAAAGCTTTTAACGCTCTAGATAGTGCCCCTACATGTATTTACATGTATATGATTTAATTACATGTAAACTCAACTGGATTATACCATCAAATTATAAGTTATCAGAAATTCCCACCACGGTGTCTTTCTTTACTACCCCTCCCCCCTCCCCTCCCTGAAATAATTCAAAATACTGTTGTTAATAGTGTTATCAGGCATGACTTAAATGGTAAACAAATTAATAGAGAGTGTAGCAAAGATATCACGCTATACCTTTTTAAAACAAGCGAAATAATAATGATATGGGTTGCTGTCCAAAGTGAAAATAAAAAAAAAATGACAAAAAAGGAATGAAAAAAATACGCATTAAGATAATCCTCTGCATTTCCGCACCGAAATCCACCTTTTTTATGTACATGCAGAAGAATCATCTCAGTTGATTAACAAAATTCAGTTATATCCATGGCTTATACATGCTGATACAAAATAATGTATAGTTATAGTATACAGTTATGTGAGCACCGATATCGGGTTTCTTCAAAACACTTGCACATGACGATCCCGCACCCGTGATCAAAAACAGAAGAATATATCGGTATATTTTTAATATGTCTGTATTTATTAAAATCGAAGTGAGGCTATTAATGCATATGTACATAAAACATATACCCGATCTTGTCATCCATTGTGAAACATAATTCAAATATACCCCCAGTGAGTAAAATTGCATTAAATGCATGTCGTATGTCTTAGACATCAGTATAAAATGTTTATGCATTTTTTGTACTGTGCTCCAAATATTTCATTGTAACTAACACAATTTAATTATTAGTATACAGTGCAGGAAACTAATTTTGTTACAGCATCGATGCTGATTTGAATGCTTCCTTTGCTTGCTGATTTGAATGCTTCCTTTGCTTGCTGATTTAATGCTAGTAATCCTTATCCTGATGCTGTTTTATAATTAGGTCAATGCTACCGGAATTAGCATCATGCTACCGGAAGTAGATAATGAATTTCAGCATTGCCGTTTAAAGCAATAAAAGTGCCTTTTACAATTATTTGATCATAATATCTCACTTTGTATCAATAATGTGAATACTTTAACCAATATTCTTTCTTTCTTTTTTAATTTTTTACTGAATTAAAACTCATTGATTTTCTGATGCTAGTAGGATAATGCTGATTTTATGTAGGTCAATGCTGGTTTTATCTTTTGCTTGCTGATGCTGATCCTGGTAATGCTGTTTTTTAAATGCTGATGCTGATGCTAGCTCGATCCTGATGCTACTAATGCTTATGCTGATGCTAGTTTATGTAACAAAATTAGTTCCCTGCACTG